CAGCCCCTCCTGGGCCCCAGACCAGTGGGCCACGGGGACTTCCGAGCCTTCTGAGAAGGCTCGGCGCTGGGCCCCCCTCCCCGGCCGCGGAGCGCGCAAGGGGCGGCGCCAGAGGCGCCGCCAGCGGCCCCCAGCGCCGATCCAGAGAATCTGCGCGACCCCCGAGTTTTTATGTAGCCCCCGCCCTGGCCAGGTCCAACCCAGGGCCCTGGACTGGGTGGGCCTGGCCCACGCAGTCCAGGGTTGGGTCGGGCATGTCCTCCTACAGGCGGATTTTGGACGAAAAATCCGCCGGCCCCCTTGTGGGGCCACCAGGCTGCGAGGCCCGTGATTCGCAGTTTCCTGTACCAGTTGTAGTTTCTAGTTTCCAGTGTTACAGTTCTGCTTCTTGCTGGTTACTGTAACTAGTTGACTTCTTGCTGGTTACTGTAACTAGTTGATTGACCGCGCGAGGGGGGGGGAGGCCCAAACAAGACTTTTAGCGTCTCCTGGGCGCGTTGTCTGAATTGCTGGGGGGGCTCGAAATCGACACCCCTCACGCAGATCCGCGGGGTCAGGGTCCAAAAACACAGGGGATTTGCCACATTTCTGAAATTCGGTGCCACCCCTCACGCAGATCCGCGGGGTCAGGGTCCAAAAACACAAGGGATTTGCCACATTTCTGAAATTCGGTGCCACCCCTCACGCAGATCCGCGGGGTCAGGGTCCAAAAACACATGGGATTTGCCACATTTCTGAAATTCGGTGCCACCCCTCACGCAGATCCGCGGGGTCAGGGTCCAAAAACACATGGGATTTGCCACATTTCTGAAATTCGGTGCCACCCCTCACGCAGATCCGCGGGGTCAGGGTCCAAAAACACATGGGATTTGCCACATTTCTGAAATTCGGCGCCACCCCTTACGCAGATCCGCGGGGTCAGGGTCCAAAAACACAGGGGATTTGCCACATTTCTGAAATTCGGTGCCACCCTTCACGCACATCCATCGCAAGGCGTGGTAACCCAAACTGCGAGAACTCCCTCGGCCCTTTAATCGCAAGGTGTGGTAACCAAGCCCGTAAACCATACACGTCTTACCAATCGCCAGGTGTGGTAACCCCTCTTGTGATCAGTTGGTTTTGCTGATTGCGAATCGGCTTCGCATGAAGTTTCGATACTGCTTCACGACAGCGCCAAGGCCTCATGACTTAGCTCTTCCATGGCCCATTCTCCGAGAGAGGGGGCCGGCGGCAGGGGGCGAAGCCCTTACGGATTACTCACACCACCGTTCTATGGTTTTCTCTTTTGCGCAGTCCTACTGTGCGCTGCCATCCCTTGTGCTACATGTTCGGCGGCAAAGGCTTTTCAACACACCTCAGCGCGCAATGCCCGCGACTATGGCGCGAAAGCATTGCGCGCAAAGAACGCGGCCGAACTGCGAGGCCGACTCAGCCGTGTCGGGCAGCGAGCCCAGAGCGCTGCGAGTGCCGCCTCGCCCGAGGGCCTGTGACGACGCCGCGGGCGAGATGTGACCTCCTCGTCCTCCTCGTTCTCGTCGCCCTGGTCCTCTCCCCCCCCCGCCCCCCTCGTCGCTGTGATCCTCCTCCTCCTCCTCCTACTCCTCATCCTCCTCCTCCCTCCTCCTCCTCTCCTCCTCCTCCTCCTCCTCCTCCTCCTCCTCCTCCTCCTCCTCCTCCTCCCCCTCCTCCTCCTCCTCCTCCTCCTCCCTCCTCATCCTCCTCCTCCTCCTCCTCCTCCTCCTCCTCCTCCTCCTCCTCCTCCTCCTCCTCCTCCTCATCCTCCTCTGTATCAACCTCTCCCTCGATTGCGCGCGTGAAAAACGAAAGTGCCGTAGGCAAGCCCGAGCCACCCACAGTACTTGGATGGAATGTCCAAGTGTATGCGAGCTGCATGGCCTCGACGATCCAGGCAAGACAGGGCTCGGTGTATTGACGCCCTGAACTACTTGCGCCCTCTGTTGTTCCTGCACTGGCGCCAACAGCCGCGGCCGCGGCAGCGAGAGATGAGCGGAAGGGGGAGGGGGAGGGGAAATCAGATGGAGGAAGACGAGGATGGAGAGGATAACGAGGAGGAGGAGGAGAAGGAGGAGGAGGAGGAGGAGGAGGAGAAGGAGAAGGAGAAGGAGGAGGAGGAGGAGGAGGAGGAGGAGGAGTCACGCTCAAGGAGAGCGTTTGACTCCAGTCGGCCGCTCCGCAGTGGAAAAGGCCACTAGATGAAAGCAACGATCGACGCCTCGACAGTAACGTTCCATGCGACGACCGAGGCAGCAATCGATGCCATCTAAAAAATCATCGCAAGCCAAAGAGGAAGCGGGAGGAGGCAAGAGGTAGGATCCGGAGGAGACGAGCAGAAACCATGATGACATTCGCAATAAAACGTGGCCGCCCTGCAGGCGCATCCGACCTATGGCTCTGAGCAGTAGATGCGTTGACGCAAGACGCTGTCAGGCTGCACAATAGCAGTGTCTGCGAGGCGGCCGCGCTTGTTTTGGTAGAGGGAGGGCAATCTCGGATCAGACATCCAAGGGGCACCTTCCCTGGCGCGCGGAGCCCGCCAAGGGCGGCTCTAGAGGAGCCGCCGGGGAGGCCCGGCGCCGACCCAAAAAAAAACGCGCGGACCTCTGGAAGGTCATGTTTTCTGGCGGTGTTTCTGTTCAGGAGGAGGAGGAGGAGGAGGAGGAGGAGGAGGAGGAGGAGTCACGCTCAAAGAGAGCGTTCGACGCAAGTCGGCCGCTCCACAATGGAGAAGGCCACTAGATGGAAGCAACGATCGGCACCTCGGCCTCCACAGTGAAATAATGCCATCAATCATCGCAAGCCAACTGACAACCACAATAGAGGCATGCGAAGAAGGCCCACAAGCGGAGAAGCCGGTAGGAAGCAAGAGGTAAGATCCGGAGCAGAGGAGCGGGCGCCAGGAGGACAGTCGGAATAGCACGCGGGCGCCCTGCAAGCGCATCCGACCTATGGCTCTGATCAGTAGGTGTGTTGACGCCATGCAATGTGGAGCCACACGCACGACCAGTGTCTGCGAAGCGGCCGCGCTTGTTTCGGTAGAGGGTGAAGGGCAACCTCGTTCAGACATCCAAGGAGTCCCTTTACCAGCGCATTTTCTGGAAAGGGGGAGAAGAAAGTGGAAGTGGGACGACGCGCACAGCCGAATACCAACGCAACACATGTCGATGACGGCCCAAGAGGGCCCCAAGACGGCCCGAAGAGGCCCCCAAGACGTTCCAAGAGGTCCCAAAGACGGCCCAAAAGGACCTCAAAAGAGCCCCCAGGCGGCCGCGAGAGGCCCCCAAGACGGCCTCCGAACGGGCCAAACGGCGCAATAGCGCCCAAGACGGCCCAACACGACCCCAAGAAGCCCCAAGAAGCCCGAAATAAACCCCCAAGAAGCCCCAGGAAGCTCCCAAGCGGCCTCCAAAAGGCCCACAAGAGGCCCCCACGAGGCCTTCTGGAGGCCTCGACGAAACCCCAAGATACCGCCAAGGGGCCCGCAGACTTCGATATAAATGGCACGTTGTTGCTACGATCCTCCAAGCTGAATTCTCCGTTGCCTTGTCGGATTCTGAAGTTCCTGAGTTCCTGGGTTCCCGGTGTCCTGGTTCCCTGGGTTCCTGGCTTCTTGGGTTCCTGGGCCCCTGGGTTCCTCGGTTCTCTGGTTTCTGGGTTCCTGAGCCCCTGGGTTCCTGGGTTCCTGGATTCCTGGGTTCCTGGGCTGCTGCAGTCCTGGGTTCCTAGGCTCCTCGGTTCCAGCATTCCTGGGTTCAGGTTGATGCCCTGCCCTGGGCGAGCCGCGGCGCAACGCCAGCCAGGTGAAAATCGGTCACGGCGGCGCCCGTGATTAAAGCCCGCGCTGGAAGGGAGAGGGGGAGAGGAAAAGGAAATGGAGGGACGGGGGGGGTGGGAGGGAGGGGCAGTAGAGACGAGAACTCCCGCCGCCTCTTCCTGCCGCAACTGCCGCGCGGGGCGCATCCGCCTCCCGTTTCAGAACGACACGGAAGACCAGCGCGGCAGACCAGCAAGGCAAACCACCAAACGCCTAGTCGCTACGTGCTCCGGACGTGCACCCCGCGAAGCCAGAGGAACCATATGTAAACTGCATCTCTCCAGGGGCTGCGATACCCCCCAGGGGGTGGGGGGATAATCAAAACTCGTTTAAGAAAGGAGAAAGAGTATATGCAATGCGATTGCAATGCGATGCAATGCGATTTCAGTACATTCCGATTGCCACGGAATGCGATCGCAATGCAATGCAATGCGATTGCAAGGCAATGCGATTGCAATGCAAAGGGAGGGGGTTCAACGAGGCGGCGGCGACGGGCGGCGACGCACGGCGACGAGGCGGCGACGAGGCGGCATCGAGGCCACCACAAGCCAGCCAGACCGATGACCAAGCCCAGGGCACGGGCGGCGACGAGGCAGCGACGGGCCACCACAAGCCGACCAGACCAACAACAAGACCCGGGCGACGGGCGGCGACGAGGTGGCGACGAGGCGGCGATGGGCCACCACAGGCCGGCCAGACCGGCAACCAGGCCCGGTTCTTTAGAAGACAAGCTTGAACCCCTAAGTGCAAGCACTTTCTGGTGAATGCAAGAAGAGGTGATAATGTATGTTTGTGAATGTACGCCATTGGGGCATCACCATGCGCAGACTCACTGCTCCCAGCGCTGTTGTACGCCTCACCCTTAGGATTCAACGAATAAACTCCCCAATTTCAATACCAAATATCAGGTCACGGGTTTCATGTTTGGGGCTATCACGTTGGAGGTACCAAATAACACGTCACAGGCTTCAGGTCTGGGTTTACCAGGTTGAAGTACCTGGTACCACGTCACAGAATTCAGATTTGGGGTTATCACGCCTAATGCTCGCTCCTGTGATGAATCCTGCGGGGAATTCAGAGAAAACGATTGAAACGGTATGCTGTTATCAACTACTGACCTGTCACAGGCGTCACATGTTTTTGGGGGCAACGGCTGTGAGGGTGACGTATGCGCGTGCTGATATAACGACTATCAAATTTGGGTCGATAAACAACTGGATTCTAGAAGGCTAGGGTCTCCCTGGGAACCCCCGATTACTATTGTGATGCAGATCAACACGAGGGTGCCTTGCGCGAGCGCGGGCGTGACGCCTCGCTGCGTAAGAACAACAACTGATAACACGCCATATGTTGTTAACTGCCACAATGGACAAAACCATATGTGCAACGGGTCTCGAATACTTCATGGAAACAAAAACGATCGCGTTACTCATAGGCGATTGCTTCTGGCCAGGGCGGAACACCATCATTAGCCATATCTTCAAACTAGATCTTGGTGCCACAACAGGGCCGCAACGCTTTGGCTCATTTCTTCGCATTCCTTAAGACATTCTTGCTTCCGCGCTTCATTGGCAGCTCAGACTCTTGCGACGAGACGCCCGCGGAGCTTCCGAACAGGCCGCAGCCGAGAGACCGAGAAGGGCCCGCTCCGCAAGGGCGGCGCGCGGCGTGCCCGTCCTCTGCGAAAGAACACCTTTCTCCGCGTTCGCCTTCTCCGCCTTCTCCGCCTCCTCTAGGACCTTCTTGCTTATCTTGTAAGGGCGCTCCAACTGTGCCAGCACGCTTGGCTCTTGCACATCGTCCCCGTCGTCCGGTTCTGACAACACGCTTGGCTCTTGCACATCGTCCTCGTCGTCCGTTTCCGCGTAAGGGCGCTCCAACTGTGCCAGCACGCTTGGCTCTTGCACATTGTCCCCGTCGTCCGTTTCTGACAACACGCTTGGCTCTTGCACATCGTCCTCGTCGTCCGTTTCCGCTCGTTGAGCCCTCCTGGGATACAGCGCGTCCATTGCCGCGTGTACAGCCCGCTGTGACTTTTCGGCATCCTGCTTCTGCCTTTTCGTATCCTCCCTCTCTGCCGTCAAAGCCCTCGCCTTTGCCTTTGCCTTGGAACTAGCCTCTAAATGGGTCCTCCTCTCTTCTTCAGTACGAGCAGCAGCCGCTGCTTTGGTAGCAGCTTTGGCTTCAGCTTTCGCTGCGCGTTCGGCATCTTTCCGCTCAGCCTTTAGACGCTGCTCGACTCGCTTCTTCTCCGCTGCCTCTGCCCTTGCGCGAGCCATGAACTCCTTATGCCATTCGGGCCTGCCAGCCATGACGAGGAAAGAAGCCTGGCTGCCTAGCAGAACTTGTCTCAGCCAAAATGGTCTGAGTCGAAACGGCTATGGGGGGGGGGGAACAAACACATGGAATCATAATGGAGATGAGGACGACGACACTTGCCGCCGCGATCGCGATGCTCTCAGTAACTCCGATTTCAGAAATCTGAAGACCTCTACCCGTACAGATCTGGACGCGCCCAGGAACCTCGAATATCACCCAAGACAGCGCCAGAACCCCCAGGATCGCTCCAACACCAGCCCAAGTGACTCCAAAATGGCATCCCAAATCCGACCTGGAACCACCATCTCATGACCTCCCCGAATTCCCCCAATTTGAACGTGAGAAATACAAATAATTGAAATTCATGTCGTTGAATGTCATAGATTGTTCAACGTTACTCTTGAACATGACTATGTGGAACTGCAAGGCTTCCTGGATCAAAACACATCAATCTGGACAACTGGAGCAACGAACCGAATCCAGACTTGTAAGACACGAGTGCGGATCGACATTGGAGAAGGTTTGGCCACTTCCACCAAGTATGCAAATTAAAACACATGGACCTGGAATTCGCTGGGAGAAATCATGTAAACAACTACAATTTCGCGAATCGCGTGCGACGTTGATTTGTCAACGATTTCGACTCGACTGACGTCCCAAATCTATTGATGCTCGTGTGATGTTCGCTCCCACCCCCCTCCAAAATTAAATCACCAATTCTAAAATGTCGTATTATGCGCTGCTCCGGGCTGTCGTAACAAGTTGTTTCGCTTTTTCGCGGCGCTGACACCTCTGAGGGGGGGCGGGGTCCATGACCCCCCAAGGGGAAACAAGCATCTTTAATGGGGGGCAAAAAAAACCTGGTTAGACCGCACGGCCATCCTTCTCCTCCTGCCGTTATTCCTCGTTATCCTCGTCCTCGTCTTCGTCCTTCTCCTCCTCCTCCTCCTCCTCCTCCGCCTCACTTGTCTTATTATTCCTCCTCCTCCTCCTCCTCGTCCTCATCGTTTCTCCCTCCTCCTCCTCCTCCTCCTCCTCCTCCTCCTCCTCCCTTCTCTTCTTCCTCCTCCTACCCTGTTCCAGCTCCACCTTAACCTCCTGTTCCTCCTCCGCCTCCCCCCCTCGTTCTTCCTCTTTCCTCCTGATTCCTTCCTCTTCCTCTCTTCTCCCTCCTTCTCGCCGATCCCCCTCCATCCTTCTCCTACTCCTCGTCCTCCTCGGTTCCCCCTCATCCTTCCGCCCTTTTCCTCTCGCTTCCCTCTGTTCATCCAATTTCTCTCCTCCTCCTCCTCCTCCTCCTCCTCCTCCTCCTCTTCCTGCTCCCTCTTCCTCCTCGACCACTCCCTCCCCGCCGAATGACTCCCTCCCCTCCCTCGCTTCATCCCTGCCTCCCCTTCTCTCCTCCTCCCTCCTCCTCCTCCTCCTCCTCCTCCTCCCTCCTCCTCCTCCTCCTCCTCTCCTCCTCCTCCTCCTCCCTCCCCCCCCTCCTCCCTCTCCTCCGTTTCCCTTCCCCCCCCTCGTCCTCCTCCCCCTTCTCCTCCTTTGGTTCCTCCCCCTCCCCGCCCTCCTGCTCCTCCTCCTCCTCCTCCTCCTCCTCCTCCTCCTCCTCCTCCTCCTCCTCCTCATCCCTCCTCCTCCTCCTCCTCCTCCTCCTCCTCCTCCTCCTCCTCCTCCCGCCTCCCTCCTCTCCATCCTCCTTCCCGCCGCGACGCCCCCGAGCGTGCTTGAGCCTTGGCGTTGAGAGCTTGTCACGTCACCCCTCGCTCTTGCGAGCCTTGGTGTTCAGAGATTGTTGCGTTGCCGCCCGTTCCTGAGCCTTGGCTAGGTCTTAGTGTCAGGAACTTGTTACGTCACCGCTCTCTGCTGGGAGCCTTGGTCGTATCAGCTTGTTTACGTCACCGCTCGCTCTTGGGAGCCTTGGTGTGAAGAGCTTTTTGCGTTACCGATCGCTCTCTATTTGGCGTCTCTGGGCCTTCTTGGGAGTCCTTTTGGGGCCCTTGTCGGGCCCTTCTGGAGGCATCTTGGGAACCTCTTGGGGGCCTCTTGGGGCTTCTTGGGGGGCTCTGGGGGCCTCCTGGGAGCTTCTTGGGGCGAAAGGCTAGACGTTTCGGTTCGTGGTCCCCCTCTTGGGGCCGTCTTGGGGCCCTCTTGGGCCGTCTTGGGCGCCTCTTGGGTCGTCTTGGCGCCCTCTTGGGCCGTTTTGGGGGCCTCTTGGGAGCCTCTTGGGCCGTCTTGGGGCGGTCTTGGGGGCCTCTTGGAGCGTCTTCAACGCAGTGAAAGCCGAAAAGCCTTGTATGCTAAAAATGTATTTTCCCCATACGAAATCAATGATTTTCGCCTACCGGTGGCCTCTTGGGACGCCTCTTGGGGGCCTCTTGGGGCTTCTTGGGGGGCTCTGGGGGCCTCCTGGGAGCGTCTTGGGGCGAAAGGCTAGATAGACTTTTCGGTTCGTGGTCCCCCTCTTGGGGCCGTCTTGGGGCCCCCTTGGGCCGTCTTGGGCGCCTCTTGGGCCGTCTGGGGGCCCTCTTGGGCCGTTTTGGGGGCCTCTTAGGATCCTTTTGGGCCGTCTTGGGGCGGTCTTGGGGGCCTCTGGGGCCGTCGTCAACGCCGTGAAAGGCGAAAAGCCGTAGATGCTATACGCTTTCCCCGGGAGAACCTGTGATTTTGGCCTCTTGGGGCCCTCTTGGGACGCCCCTTGGGCGTCTCTTGGGGGCCTCTTGGGGGCCTCTTGGGCCGTCTTGGGCGGTCTTGGGCTCTCTTGGAGCGCTCGTGGGCCGTCTTGGGGGGGAACCCGAAAAACATGCAAAAACCCGAAGGACAACCCGAAAACGGCCATTAACGCCCAAATGGGCACGCTACCTCCTTCCCCTGGAACCCCTCCCTTTAGGGCTTCGTCCACAACAGAACGTCATCACTCGTACCTCGCTCTTTCCGTTATCCGGGGTGTGCGCTCCTCGCCCCTCCCCTTCGCCCACACCAGAACGTCCATCACTCGTACCTCGCTCTCCGAGGGCCATGAGACCCATTGGAAAACAGCAGAATGGCGAAGTGGAGGGTGGGAGGAAGAGTATACACCTGACACATCAAGACGACCGCTGGGGACTATCTCAAAGCTTGCATCGAACGAAACTGACAATCCACAAAGACATGATGGTAGTCGTTGTGAGGTATAAACATAGCAGCTTTTGACGAGAGCGCCAATTCACGTACCTGCAATGCACTTTCAGGTTCCGTGCGGCGGGGGTCGCAATCAGATCCGACGAGTGCGACGGCAACACATGTGGATGATGGAGGCTTTTGCTGGACGGAGGACCTAGCCAAAATCCAGGTCCAGCCGCGAGGCTTCAGGGGAAGAAACACGTGATGGGCGAGCTGGACTCCTGAGGCCGTCTTTCTGGCCGCGCCCCCGCATTGGACGACGCGCCAAGCGGCCGACGTCGGAGGGCTGCCAAAAAGGGGCGAGCTGCCTCGCCTGCCTCGCCAGTGCAGTCTCTGCCGCCAGCCCAGGCCGCTGGACTGCCCACATAAAAGAGGAGACCGCCGATGCCGAGACTGCGATCGAAGAAGAACACTGCATGAACACATAAACTCTCGGCGGAGACCCGCGCGGTTCTTTTGGATCGGCGCTGGGTTTGGTGTCCGTTCCATGGGAGCCTGCGTGGCCCCCGGCACTGTCCAATTTGGGCCTGATTTGGACCGGATTTGGAACAAAGTTGGACCGGATTTGGATCAGACTTGGACTGGATTTGCGGGGGCTGGGAGAACGAGGAGGGGGAGGGGGAACAGGAGGGGAGAGGAGGAGCAGGAGGATGGGCCAAATGAGGTCCCCACGCTGTCCACATACAGGAA